TGTGTGTGTGTGTGTGTGTGTGTGTGTGTGTGTGTGTGTGTGTGTGTAAGTAACAGGAAGTCTGCTCTGATTGGATGAGGCACTTGGTCACACCCTAGGGAGCTTGTATAAAATGAGGAGAGATAGTCCAAGAATCTAACAGTGGAGAATGAGGAGGGAAATCCAGAGCCGGAAAGAACTGGCGACCCAGTGGAAACCAACAAAAGGAGAAATAGAAAGTAGGACTGAGCTGTGGATAAAAAGAAAGAGTTAGAGGAAGGCCATCAATTGTACAGGCATCTCAAAGCAGAAGACTTGGGCTAAAATCTCCAATTGTATTCACCTCTTCGAGAGCTGACTGAAGTTACAAGAAAAGCTTTGTTCTTTCTCCAATTTCCGCCTCCTGGTACCTGACACTATGATAAAGGTTTATGCTTCTTTACCCAGATGATTTTGGTAACCTGAATTCTGATTCAAAGAGGCAGAGGTTAGCTAGAGATAAACATGAATGTCAATGAAGACTGAGAGTCAAACCTCTACCTAAATATTAGGAATTGTCCTAACTGGGGGTTCAGAGCAATTGTGATTGTATTCTTAAGTTTTCATTTGATATGAACTCCTTAAAGCAGGAGACCAAACTACATGGACCTAAGGAGCCATTATATTTCCACTAGGCTTAAAATGAACTAATTATTGTAATAGATGAACTATGAACTATGATCCCATGAGCTTATGAACTTTGGGAAATCCTTAGCATTAAATAACCTACATATAGTTTTAATTTCAGGATTTTTAATGCAAAAATGATGTTTCTCACTAATTATGGATTCACCAAAAAAAAAAAAAAAGGTCCAGATCACTAAGGGTCTCTCCACAGCTTGTTGTTGGAAGAGGACCATGACACTAGGAACATGATGCCATGATTTGCAAACGAATTGGATTTAAGTGAGGGAGGGCTGTGCAAGATCACCAGCCTCACTTTCTCCTCTGGAGTCATTTGGGTCCAGTGGCCAGATATAGATCAGGACTACTAGAGATGGGTCCCCTCTCCACAAGTAAAATAATCATGGGCCTTAGTCTGGGAGGTAGATTAGGGGAAAGAGCAAACTAGACACACTCAAAGTACATTAACCACTTCAGGTTTTCACCTTGGAAGGCTATGAAGTAGTAAACAGAGTTCTTGATTTGAATTGAAGAAGAACTGGATTTGAATTATGCCTCCATAATTTGTTTAACTGTGCAAATTATTAAACCTCTGATCTAAGCCTCTGAGGCTATCTTCATCTGAAAAATGGGCCTTATTCAGTCAAAAGACCAAACTTAAGGATCTGGAAGGCCACATGGGGACTGAAGGCCACAGGTTCCCCACCTCTGATCTACTGCAAAGGAAGAGTCTCAGAAAGAAGAAATAACTTGCCCAGGGTCACATAGGAAGGAAGCCTGAGAACCGGGATTCAAACCTAGGTCTTTTGATTCCAAATTTGGTGCTCTATTCATTCAGCCATGATCAGTCACCATGATTTCATTAGCCATGAGATCATTTGGGAAATCAACAATTTTTTTTAAGGAATTACAGCATCATTGTCATCAGTTCTCATTCCCATAAATCTCCCTCCAGATGACTATGACACAACCCAATCTTCCTGCCATGGGAAAAAAAAAATATATATATATATATGTATATGTATATGTGTGTGTATATGACAGTGTGTGTGTGTGTGTATGTGTGTGTGTGTATTATACTAGTGTGAGAAAGAAAAGTATTGCATTCCTTTTCTCTTCCCTTTTGGACAGCTCCCCTTAGAGAATTTCCCAGTTCTGGCCTCACCAGATTTTTCAGTCATTTCCTTTTGAAAGGGTGTGGGATGATAATTGAGGTTGAGCAGCTGTGTCTCCAGCATTCATTCTACAGTAATTGTGCAGAACAAAGAGATTCCTCTTCACACCCAAAGGTCCAGATTCCATTTGGAATCTTAGCTAAACACTATCTCCAAATGTTTTTAAGATGTTTTTCTATGTTCATTATATCCATGAAAGTAGGCTACAAGATGAGAGCATTAATTCCTAGATACTATTTCTTTCTCTCCACTCTCCTCCTCCCTCTTCAACTCAAAAAAGTTTGTGTTTTACCTGAGGTCTACTACAACAATCTACCCAAAGAAAGCAAAATGACAAGTGACAATGTCTAGGGTCTTTTCTAAATATAACTGCTAGACTCTATTTGCAGAAAAAGAGCCTCAAAGGCTCGGGGATGGCAGGAGGGAATCACCAGCCAAGCAGGAAATTAAGCACTGAACAATCTAAGACACCCTCAAGTTCTTATATGTTTGAGACTTGATTTGTATTTCCGGTTTCTAGCAACGATGAAAAACAGCCAAGCTTCCCAAAGTCATTAGGAATCCTTGATAAAACACAGATGTGAATGCATCTCTCCTTCCAATGAAAATACATAAAATATAAGGCACAATATTCAAATTTATTATCTCATTAGAGATAATGGAAACCTTTTAAAAGGTAAGCACAAATGACCCTTTGAAGTTGTATAAGGACGAGGCAGTCACGCGAAAGAAATGAATATAGGTTGGTTAAACAATTTCTGTAGACCAGTGTATACTTCTCTGTGTATGTTTTAGAAGGGGAAGATTATAGTTTCTTGGAGACATTTATTTTCTGGAAATTAACTTGTGACCTAGCATAAAGTACCCGAGATTAAGAGTCAAAAGAGATGATTTCAAGTCCCAGTTCAGTTATTTATTAGCTGTGCAACCTCAAGCAAATCAGTTCTTCTCTCTGAGCCCCAGTTTCCTCATCGATAAAACAAAGTGGTTTAGATAAGATCACAGGTCCACAGGCCACCCCTCACAGGCATCTATGAACTTTGATGGGAAGGAATTTGCATACATGTGTATGTGCATGTATACATATATGTATATGCAAGTACATATGTGTATATGTACATATAGGCATTTATACACATATTTGAATAGAATGTTAAATTTCAACTAGGAATGAAAATAAAGTTGTAGTTTTTTGCTATCCTTTTTTAATCTTGTGCATTTTATTTTATGCATTTAAAACCATTATTCTAAGAAAGGATCCATCAGCTTCATCAGACTGCCAATAGGGGCCATGACATAAATAATGGTTAAGAACCCCTGGCACAGGTGAACTCTTAGGTCCCTTCCAGGTTCTAACATGCCATCATTCTGTAAGTGTGTGATTTACTACAGAGAAGATTCAAATAAGCAACACAGACTTACCTATAGATAGAGAAAGAAGCGACAGATTTGATGAGGGAGGCCACTGCACCCACTTTGGCAGCTTCTACAGCCCCTTGAACTCTGTACTGTACACTTTCTCCATAACCTTTGTAGGGTTGGTTATAAACGACAATCTTCCCTCTTGCTTCAGAGGCCCTTCTATGCAGCTCATCAAAAGAGGACACCACCAGGACTTCAGCTGTAATTCCTAGAAAGAAAAATTATAGGAACTTGACATGGTTTCCTGTGATCAGTTGGTCTGGCACACAGAAGAACATAACGTTGATACTCATTCAATAAACATCAATGAACCACATATCCTGATGCAGAGAAGCAAATCTGACCTCATGAGTATCAACTTGAGTCTTTGTGGGATCAAACCCCTGAACAGAATATGACTCAATCAGAATACACAGACTAGGTAAAAAGGGGATAGGGAGGAGGTATAAGCTGCACTGTATAGTAAGAATATATATTCAATAGGCACACATTTGGGAACATTACCAATATGGGGATTTGTTTTTGCTTGACTATGTATATTTGTTACAAGAGTTTTATTTTTTCTTTTTTTTTTCCATTGGGAAGATGGGGGGGGTCTTTTTAATTGAAAAAAATAGATTTTTCTTTAAAATCAAGTGATGAAATGTAGGAACCTTGGGGAATTAGAATGTTGTTGTTGTTTTGGTTGTTGTTGTTCAGTTGGTTCAGTCATGTCCAACTCTTCATGACTTCATTTGGGGTTTTCTTGGCAAAGATACTGGAGTGGTTTGCCATTTTCTTCTATGGCTCATTTTACAAATGAAGAAACTGAAGCAAACAGGGTTAAGTGACTTGCCCAGGGTCACACAGCTAAGTGTCTGAGACCAGATTTGAATTCACAAAGATGAGTTTTTCTGACTCCAGGCCAACTAGCTATTCACTACACCACCTAGCTGCCCCAGGGAGTTAGAATGGAGGGGAACATTTGGGCAAAAACCAATGGAAACAAAAATAGAAGCAATTTAATAATCAGAACATGCTATTGATCATCAGGATAGAAAGAGAAAATAGATGAGGAATTTTTGACATATATCACAAGCACAGAGTAACAATACAATAGTGATAGGGACCTCCAATTATCCCAACACCTACAAGAACTCTCTTGATGCCAAAAGCTCAACAGATAATGAGGTATTGACTTGCCTTACTAATAATTTCATCTTTCAAAAGGTAAAGGATTGGGGATCCAATTCTCTTTAGTGAGGAACTAGTTGCTAGGGAGGGGGAAGATGGAACCTTGGGGAAAATAATTATTCTTTCTTGGAATCTGATATAGAAAAAGTGAGGAAAACTGAACATAGTCTGACATGAGCCCTAAGTTGGGGGACAGATTTCAAAAAGGATAAGTCGGATACCATAGAAAAAAATTCAACAGAAGAATTCCATTCAAGAAAAGAATCTCAATAATGAAATCCAGAAGACACAAAGACAAACACTTATGAGGAAGAGGAAAAAGGGGCAGTTGTCTAATGAGACTAAGGTGGATATACAGAGAACTCACTAGTCAATTTAGATTTTTTTTAATGTATAGAAGGAAAGCAAGAATGGATAACAGGATTTATGAAAAAGCATGGCATGGAATACTGTCAGCCACGTTAAAGATCAGAAGGAACAAGGATTGGCAAGGGAAAAAAAAGGTATGTTTAGCTTTACTGGTGTAACATCAACTCTGGGTTACTTCTCCCAACTCCTATTCACACTGGCTATCAAGGTTCCTAGAAGGTAGCTAAAGACCTCTCCCTTTAGGGTTCTAGAGGTAACACCAAGAAGTTGAAGTGATTCTCTAATATGTTGCTCATGAACCCCCTATCTAGTGTACTCTCAGTTGATTACCAGCCATCTAGGTTTAATTAGCTTTTAGAAAGGAATATTTACTAATACAATATAGTAAAAATAGTTGGTACCAAGAGTACCCCCAAAAGTCTGAGACACACTATTCCACAGGTATATAGAGTTTATGGAAAGGTGGGCTCAATATTATACAGCACATGTAACAGAGTTAACTCATAGCTCTTGCTCAAATAGAAGTCTTTTTCTCTCTTTCTGGGACCCTTCTAGTTCCACTTAATTCAGGAGTTCTTACCCACAGGTCTATGATTTTGATTTTTAAAAATATTTTGATAACTGTATTTCAATATATTTGGTTTCCTTTGTAATTCTATATATTTTATTATATGCATTTAAAGACATTATTCTGAGAAGGGTCCACAGGTTTTGCCAGACTGCCAAAGGGTCCCATGACACAAAAAGTTAAGGATCTCTGCCTTAATTAAGCATATGTAGCTCACTCCTGGGCTCCAAAGGTCACAAACTCCATGGGGTTTGTGTGGCCAATCCATTCACTTTTAGCTTATCCTTAGAGTGTCTCTCAATTACCGATACAAATGCTGCCATTAGCCACTGCTGTTACAGGGACAATGGCTCCTTGCTAATGGGAAGTCCTTCCAGTCTTTGAAGTTCACAAGGTCATCCATCCTTCAAGACTCAATCTCCCCTACCCCTTTGCTGCCCTCTGCTGACGGGCGCAAGGGTATGGCTCCTGTATCTTAACTTCCTTTTCTTGTGTCCCACCCTCTTCTCTGACATGCAGCAGTCCAAAGGTGATTCTTTTAACTAATCTCAACACATTTTCTGTGTGTTCTGATCTGATTTTATCCATGGCTCTTCTCAAAATGTTCTGACATTTGATACATTGATTCAACAGAAGTGTTTAGGTTGTTTTTTTTTTTCATACCTAGTTTACACCTTTGATTGACTGATTCTATAATTCGAGCAAAGAGACATTCTCAACTAATAAAATTATCAGGGAGTCAAGCATCTTGCTAGTTATGAGAGGGCTGAAAGTTGTGAGATACCCCTTTTACACCAGGGAACAGAGAAGGACCGAAGAAGGCAGAGAACCATGGCTTGAGATAGATGGGATGATGATAACTGACAAAAAAAAAAAGAGAAGGCATAACTGCCCAATGATTATTTTACTTCCAGAGGCATTGAAAAAACTAGCAGCTATAATTACAAAGTGACTAAAAGATCACAGAGAAAAGGAGCAGTACAACCAGACTGCTGGTGAATTGTTGTTTGTGTTGTTCAATCATTTTCAGTCACGTCCAACTCTTCATGACAGCATTTAAGGTTTTTTGGTAAAGATACTGGAGTAGTTTGCTATTTCCTTCTCCAGCTTATTTGACAGATGAAGAAACTGAAGCAAACAGGGTTAAGTGACTTGTCCAGGGTTACACAACTAGTAAGTGTCTGAGCCCAGATTTGAACTCAGGAAGATGAGTCTTCCTGATTCTGGGCTGGGCACACTACCTACTGTGCCCACCCACCTGCCCACTACCAGACTGAGGAAGCACCAATCTCTTAATTTTTGAGAAAGTGAAGAGTTTGCTCATTCTAGGCTAGTATACTTGATTTCAATTCCTGTTTAAATTTTTTTAGAATAAAGGAATAGGGATATTTGGTGAATATTGAAAAAAAAAGAGGTATTGATCACAAAGAGCCAGGTTGGCTTCATCAAGAACAGTTAATGCCCATTTTCCCTGTTGTGGACAAAGTTAGCAGACTGATAAATCAGAACAATGAGCACAGACACAATTTATCAAGATTTGAGCTGAACATATGACAGAATCTCTCACAGTAGCTATGTTAAAAAAATATAGAGATGTGAACTAGAATCAGTGGTATCAAACTGTCAGCCCCATATTGACTTAGAAAATCACAAATTAACATTATACATGTTGTATTGTATTTTTATTTATTTTTTTTAAACATTTCCCAATTACAATGTAATCTGTTTAGGGCTATACTCAATTTGGGGTCAGCAAGTTTGATACTTCTGAACTAGATGACAAGACAGTTAGGTGAACTTTAAACTGGGTGAATGGCTTTAAGAAAGGGTAGTCTTTAAAGATGGTTCAATAGGGGCAGCTAGGTGGCACAGGGGAGGAGGCACAGGACCCCCAACCCTGGAGTCAAGAGGACTTGAGTTCAAATCCGATCTCACACCAAACACTTCACACTTACTAGCTGTGTGACCCTGGGCAAATCACTTAACCCCCAATTGCCTCACCAAAAAAAATAAAGATGGGTCAATATCAACTTGGAAGCAGATTTCCTTTGGGATGTCCTGGGAATCTCTGCTTGGCCCTGGGCTGTTGAATATTTTTATCACTGACCTGGATGATGGCAAACTTTGGCAAACTTATCAAATTTTCAGAAGACACAAAGCTAGGAGTGATATATAACACACTGAAGGTGTCAACATGTTAGAACACTGGGCCCAGTCTATTAAAATGAAATATGAAAGAGAAAAATATAAAAATCTTACTCTTGGGTTCAAAAAAATCAACTTCCCCAAAGAAGAAAGTAGAGATATGAGAAGATGAGAGTTCCACTAAAAAGAGTAGTATGTTTTAGTGGACTCTAAGTTCAATATGAGTCAGTAGTTTGATCAGGAGCACTAGAACCTCTGGTGTGAGGGCTTGTCAAGCCCTTTCCAGGGCTGCTCATTCACCTTTGGTGTCCACCTGATTCACCCAACTCTCACCTGTGGCTCCAAGAAGCTGTAACCTAGAAGCCACACCCCAGTAAAACTATCTCAGCAGACAGGCTAAACCAGGTTGGGGGTAACTATCAGGCCTCAAACCCATTAATGAGTTAGGAGGATGTCTACCCCAAGCATATGAGAGTCTTCACATGGATAGATAAGAACAATTTGTTCCAATTGCCATGAAGGTGACTGAAGTAGGCACTGTGGAGCACTTAGAGCTTGGTCAGGCATCAAAGACTCCAAGGTCATCCACTGCATCTCAGACCACCACTGGTCATCTTGACTTTTGTCCTGCCACTGGACTTTGATGCCTCTGGAAGTGAATGAGGCTGACAACTTTGTGTAATTCTGCCTCACTTAAATCTAATCCATGCAGGAGCTAAAGCATCAGCTATGATATCATTGGTCCTCTTCAAAAACAAAGAACAAACAACAATGTTACCCAAAAAAGTTAATGCAGTCTTAGATTGCATTAGAGAGATATGAGGCCTCTAGAAGGTGTTGCTATATCTGCCCTAGTCAGATGAAATCTAAAGGATTGTGATCGGGCTTTAGCATCACATCTCACAAAGTACACCAATCTATCAGAGAGATACAGAGGAGAGCAACTGGGTTAT